TGTTACTGATTTGGAAATGGGATCCTTTTGTATAGGTGTGAGGCATGGCATTTGCCATTTATTATGTTGTAAACCGCTTTGAGTCCCATTCCCCCCACAGCTCTCACAATCAGGAAGTTCTTCCTAATATTCAAATGGAATCTCCTTTCTTGCAGTTTGAAGCCATTGTTCAGCATCCTAGTCTCTAGGGCTGCAGAAAACAAGCTTGCTCCCTCCTCCCTATGACTTCCTCTCATGTATTTACACATGGCCATCATGTCTCCTCTCAGCCTTCTCTTCTTCAGGCTAAACATGCCCAGCTCTAAGCAACTCCTTATAGGGGTTGTTCTCCGGACCCCCCCTCCCCCCCGGATCATTTTTTGAGTCGCCCTCTCCCCCTGGACACCCCATTCCAGCTCCAACCTCTCCTTTCTGTGGTGGCGGCGCCCAGAATGGGACCCAGTGGGGTTCCAGGTCACACGGAACAGGAGACGGGAAGACCATGTGGTGGCAAAGAAAGCCCATGGGATGTCGGCCTGCACCCAGAGGAGCCTTGCCTTCCCGTCTCCTGTTCCCCTTCATGACTAGGAGGGCATCTATGCTGCAGAATTAATGCAGTTTGGTCCCACTTTAAGTACCAGATCCTGCCTTAGCTACCTCTGCCCCCGGCCTCTGTGACCAGGAAATAAAAGGTGAGGGTTTCCCTTGACATCAAGTCCAACCGTGTCCAACTCTGGTGCTCTGGTGCTCATCTCCATTTCTGTGCCAAAGAGCCAGTGGTGTCCATAGGCACCTCCTGGTCATGTGGCCAGCATGACTGCATGGAGCGCTGTTACCTTCCCAGCAAAGTGGTACCTATTGATCTACTCACGTTTGCATGTTTTCAAACTGCTAGGTTGGCAGAAGCTGGGCTAACAGCGGGAGCTCACCCTGTCCCACGGATTCAAACTGTTGACCTTCTGATCAGCAAGTTCTGCAGCTTAGCGGTTTGACCCATTGCGCCACCCCCACGGCCCCTTGAGCAGTAAGTGTCCGTGGGGAAATGCCTGATGCCAGAAGGATGTGTCTGGTGTCCGTGGGACCGTTGCATGAAGGTTGTGATGGGTGTCAGTGTGTATTTCATGTACGATGTATGTTTAAATGTATTTTTATGTAGTAGAATTGTGATTGTAATAGAACTGTATAAATATAAATGTTTTTAATAATAATAATAATAATAAATAACCTCAGCAAGATGGAGTGGATGAGGGATTGGAGGACATCCAACCCCAAATTGGGAAACAAGCTTTCCAGGAATACCTGGCTGCTCTGAACGAGTTCAAGTCCCCAGGGCCAGATCGACACCCAAGAGTATTGAAGGAACTAGCGGAAGGGGTTGGTTGATTGGTTTGTGCTGATTATTAACGCATCGTTGGAGCAGGGGATTTTCGCATCTAACTTGAAGCAGGCTGTGGGCCACCCACTCCTTAAAAAGCCTTCCCTTGACTCCACGGTGCTGAACAACTACAGGCCAATCTCCAACCTCCCTTTTTTGGGTAAGGTGCTGGAGCGGGTGGTCGCCCTCCAGCTCCAGGGCTTCCTAGATGACATCAACTACCTAGATCAGTCACAGTCTGGTTTCAGGCCTGGTCATAGTACCGAGACAGCCTTGGTCGCCTTGGTGGATGACCTTCGCAGAGAGCTGGACAGGGGGAGTGTGACTCTGTTGGTTCTCTTGGACATCTCAGCGGCTTTCGATACCATCGATCATGGTATCCTTCTGGGACGACTCTCTGGGATGGGTCTTGGGGGCACGGTTTTGTCATGGCTCCGGTCCTTCCTGGAGGGTCAGTCCCAGATGGTGAAGCTGGGAGACGCCTGCTCGGATCCCTGGCCCTTGACCTGTGGGGTCCCACAAGGCTCTATTCTGTCTCCCATGCTCTTTAACATCTACATGAAACCGCTGGGAGAGGTCATCCGGAGTTTTGGAGTTGGGTGCCATCTCTACGCAGATGACACACTCCTCCTGAAGCCACAGGTCCGTAGCTTGGGAGTCCTCTTGGACTCATCGCTCACGCTTGAGGCTCAGGCTTCGGCGGTGACCGGGAGGGCTTTTGCACAACTGAGACTTGTGCGCCAGCTGCGCCCGTACCTCGCTAAGGCTGATCTGGCCGGGGTGGTCCATGCCTTGTTCACCTCTAGACTGGATTACTGCAACGCGCTCTACGTGGGGCTGCCCTTAAAAACGGCTCGGAAATTCCAACTGGTCCAACGGGCAGCAGCCAAGATGTTAACTGGGGCCCATTACAGAGAGAGGTCAACCCTTCTGTTCAAGGAGCTCCACTGGCTGCCGTTTATTTTCCGAGCCCAATTTAAGGTGCAGGTGCTTACCTACAAAGCCCTGAACGGTTTGGGACCACCCTACCTGCGTGACCGTATCGCTGTCTATGAACCCACACGCTCACTCCGGTCATCTGGAGAGGCCCTGCTCGTGATCCCGCCCGCGTCGCAAGCGCGCTTGGTGGGGACGCGAGACAGGGCCTTTTCTGTGGTGGCCCCCCGACTCTGGAACACCCTCCCGAAAGATCTCAGACAAGCCCCTACATTGGCAGTCTTCAGGAAGGAATTGAAAACTTGGCTGTTCCGATGTGCCTTTTCAGATTAGGAACCCCAACACCAAATTCTAGAAGCACTTTAGTAGAACCAAGTTCACTGCACACCACACTTATATTATAATCCTACATTCCTCCCACCACATCAGCACTTTTAATCCTGTACCCCTACTCTGGCCGGCCCAGTTTTAATAGTGTCTTGTTGTATTGTTACTGTTATTGTTTTTCTGCTTAACTGTTTTTAATTTGCTTTAGGTATTGTATTGTTGTATTGTGTTTGGGCTTCGGCCTGTGTAAGCCGCATCTAATCCCTTGGGAGTTGCTAGCGGGGTACAAATAAAGTTATAATAATAATAATAATAATCTTGGAACTATTGGCAACCATCTTTGAGAGTTCTTGGAGAACGGGAGAAGTTCCAGCAGATTGGAGGAGGGCCAATGTGGTCCCAATCTTCAAGGGAAAAAAGGATGACCCAAACAACGACCAATGTCCGGTCAGCCTCACGTCGATAGCAGGCAAGATTCTGGAAAAGGTCGTTAAGGAAGTGGTCATAGAAACAAATGCGGTCATCGCTAAGAGTCAACACTGATTTATCAAAAACAAGTCATGCCAGACTAATCTGATCTCTTTCTTTGATAGAGCTACAAGCTAGGTAGATGCGGGGAATGATGCCGTGGATGTAGCGTACCTGGATTTCAGGAAGGCCTTCTTTGACAAGGTCCCCCATGACCTTCTGGCAAGGAAACTAGTCCAATGTGGGCTAGGCAAAACTACAGTGAGGTGGATCTGGAATTGGTTAAATGGACAAACCCAGGGAGTGATTCTCCCCAAGGCTTCCTCTTCATCCTGGAAAGAAGTGACAAGCGGAGTGCCACAAGCAGGGTTCCGTCCGGACTCAATTCAAGGTGCAGGTTCTTACCTACAAAGCCCTGAACAGTTTGGGACCCATCTACCTGCGTGACCGCATTTCTGTGTACGAACCCACACAATCTCTTCGATCATCTGGAGAGGCCCTACCCACGCTCCCACCTGCATCACAAGCACAATTGGTGGGGACGAGGGAGAGGGCCTTCTCGGTGGTGGCCCCCTGACTCTGGAACTCACCTCCTAAGGACATCAGGCATGCCCATCTCTGGCAGTCTTTAGGAGGAGCTTGAAAACGTGGTTGTTCCAGTGTGCCTTCCCAGAATAATGAACCCTTAGCATTGTGTCCTCTAAAAGCACTTTATACTGATTTAAGACTGCTTGTACGTTTCCACCAACGCCCCTCCTCCTCTATATTGTTCATGCCCAGCATTATTTTTAAACTTCAATTACATTTGGCCCAGCCATAGTTTTTTGAAATGTGCATTGTGTTTTTGTTTATGCTATTTGTGTATGAGATTTATTTTAATTGCTTTGCTTTGTTTCCCAAGCAGGCGGAGGAGAGGAGGAAGAGGAGGGGACCACCCGATGCCGCCTTCCCCAGCCAGAATGCTTCTGCCTCGGCCTTCCCCTCACGTCGGGGGACGGGGGCCGTCGCCACAGGAGGGCCGAGGCAGACGGAGGCCGGACCCGAGACCCCAAAGGGCCGCATCCGGCCCATGTGTCTGGGTTTCCCCATGCCTGGGCTAAAGGCACATGCTGAGGGGAGGGCCGAGGCAGACGGAGGCCGGACCCGAGACCCCAAAGGGCCGCATCCGGCCCATGTGTCTGGGTTTCCCCATGCCTGGGCTAAAGGCACATGCTGAGGGGAGGGCCGAGGCAGACGGAGGCCGGACCCGAGACCCCAAAGGGCCGCATCCGGCCCATGTGTCTGGGTTTCCCCATGCCTGGGCTAAAGGCACATGCTGAGGGGAGGGCCGAGGCAGACGGAGGCCGGACCCGAGACCCCAAAGGGCCGCATCCGGCCCATGTGTCTGGGTTTCCCCATGCCTGGGCTAAAGGCACATGCTGAGGGGAGGGCCGAGGCAGACGGAGGCCGGACCCGAGACCCCAAAGGGCCGCATCCGGCCCATGTGTCTGGGTTTCCCCATGCCTGGGCTAAAGGCACATGCTGAGGGGAGGGCCGAGGCAGACGGAGGCCGGACCCGAGACCCCAAAGGGCCGCATCCGGCCCATGTGTCTGGGTTTCCCCATGCCTGGGCTAAAGGCACATGCTGAGGGGAGGGCCGAGGCAGACGGAGGCCGGACCCGAGACCCCAAAGGGCCGCATCCGGCCCATGTGTCTGGGTTTCCCCATGCCTGGGCTAAAGGCACAGGTCTGTAATAATAGAGTGGGACCTTTCCAGTCAAGCCAACGTAATAGCCAGAGGCTGGTCAAATGGTATCAGGCAGCATAAATATTCATTTGTGTGCCGAGTTTCTCTTTTGTGTAGGACATTGGGCTGTATGAGTAACCCTGGTGTATATGCTTGTGTAAATAAAGCCAATCAGCTGCTCTGCTGAGCTGAAATGAACAGTTGCTACTTGATTTATTGGGGAAATTGTGTGGAAAAGGCAGAAAAGGATGTTATAAGTCTTGGCCAGTTTTGGGGATGTCTCCTTTCTGCATCACTCACAGGATATCCTTCAACTTCAGAGCTATGCGGCTAACCATAAAGACAAAATATATTAGGCAATAAACCCCACATTGGTCTAAAATCATGTCTATCTGCCACTCCAGTCTCAGCAATGTCAACCTTTCTAAATTTGCCACCTTTTAAGAGACTAGTTTTAAAAAAGCAGTAAAATCACAAAAACAAAAATGTTTATAATGCGTAATACTAAAACTATGCAGCTAACTAACTGGCTACTACAACAAAGTAAAACTAAATTAGAAACAAACACACCAACAAAACACTCTTACATAGACACAAACACACACAAACTACATCAACAAACAAAAAATAGACAGACATGGGTCTAATTCTACAAACCTTCTCTTTTTCTATTTCTATACCTCATTATTCTACTCCATTTAGACAATCCTATATAATGAGCACACGTCTGCCTTCGGTACCACTCTTCTAATTCATAAATCTTACACTTGACAAAACGCCCCGAATGTTGTCATGAAAGAGTGATTTTAAAGTTGCAATGTTTCTTGAAAGAGACCAAATGTTTCTCCTTAATTCAGCAGCATCAGTTTCTTAATATTTGCTACTTTGCAGATCTTCATCAGTCAGTTCACTTAAGTTCAGATTACTTCTTCCTTCCATCTCTGAGGATACAGGATTCTTGCTGCAATTATCATATAGTCGAGTAATCTTTCAAACTTTCTTTCTAGATGACCATCCTGCATTCCTAAGAAACACACTCCTTCCATGCATGTACAGGGTTTCTCTCCAGTGTGCGTCCTGTGGTGTGAACATAGACGTCCACTCTCAGGGAAGCTCTGTCCACACTGCAAGCTTTTAGAGGGTTTCTCCCTACTCTGAGTCCTGTGATGTGAACGTAGATTTGCACTATAAGTGAAAGTCTTTCCTCACTCCAGACATTGATAAGGTTTCTCCCACGATGCGTCCTCTGACGTGTATGTAGACTGGGTTTCTGAGTGATGCTCTGTTCACACTAAAGGCATGTACAGAGTTTCACCCCAGCGTTAGTCCTTTGAGGTGAATGTAGACTTCCACTATGAGCAAAGTTCTGTCCACCCTTCAGGCATTTATAACGTTCCTCCCCAGTGTGAGTGAGTCCTCTGATGTGAAAGTAGATTTCCACTACGAGTGAAGCTCTGCCCACACTCCAGGCATGTATAGGGTTTCTCCCCCGTGTGAGTCCTTTGATGTGAATGTAGGCTTCCACTCTGAGTGAAGTTCTGTCCACACTCCAGGCATTTGTAGGGCTTCTCCCCAGTGTGAGTTATTTGATGGGAATGTAGACTTTTACTATGAGCAAAACTCTGTCCACACTCCAGGCACTGAAAGGGTTTTTCTCCAGTGTGGGTCCTTTGATGTGAACACAGACTTTTACTATGAGCGAAGCCCTGTCCACACTCCTGGCATTTATAGGGTTTTTCCCCAGTGTGAGTCCTTTGATGTGAAAGCAGGCTTCCACTCTGAGCAAAGCTCTGTCCGCACTCCTGGCATTCATAGGGCTTCTCCCCAGTGTGAGTCCTTTGATGTCTACGCAGACCTCCACTATGAGCGAAGCGCTGTCCGCACTCCTGGCATTCATAGGGCTTCTCCCCAGTGTGAGTCCTTTGATGTGAATGTAGACTTTGACTATGAGCAAAGCTTTGTCCACACTCCTGGCATTTATAGGGTTTCTCCCCGGTGTGAATCCTCTGATGTCTGCGTAGACTGCCACTTTCAGTGAAGCTCTGTCCACACTCCAGGCATGTATAAGGTTTCTCCCCAGTGTGAGTCCTTTGATGCTTATATAAATTTCCACTCTCAGTGAAGCTCTGGTCACACTCTGGGCATTTATAGCGTTTCTCCCCAGTGTGAGTTCTTTCATGTGAACGTAGTGTTCCATTCTGAGTAAAGCTCTGTCCACACTCCAGGCATTTATAGGGTTTCTCCCCAGTGTGCATCCTTTGATGTGAACTTAGGCTTCCACTCTGAGCAAAGCTCTGTCCACACTCCAGGCATTTATAGGGCTTCTCCCCAGTGTGAGTTCTTTTATGCAAATGTAGACTTCCACTATGAACGAAGCTCTGTCCACACTCCAGGCATTTATAGGGTTTCTCCTCCATGTTGACAGTTATGGATATGATTGATTGCAATATGGACACGAGTCCTCCCTTTTATCTGATCGCAAGTGAGTTCCACAAGATCAGCACCTAGAGAGGGTTTCTTCTTCCTATGGGATTCCTTTCGTTATTGCGCTTTGGTTTCCAAACTC